ATGCCGAGACTAGACCACCCATCTCCTTCAAACACTTGATTCTCCTGGAAAAGTTCCCACCTCCCACTTTTCTTCTCGAACTCCAGCCACTCCCGTCGTCTGCCCTACACAACAAGGAATTCAGGAGTATCTACTCATTCACCATTCAAACGTTCAACAAGATCCAGACGCAGGTTTTCAGGCTCTCTACATATCTGATGAGAATGTTATTATCGGCGCGCCTACTGGAAGCGGCAAGTCTATCTTTGCTGAATTTGCTCTGCTCCGCCTTCGGAACAAATGCGAGCAGCCCAGGCCGGTCTGTTTAGTCCTACCAGGAGATGGTCGACCAACGTGTTGCAGAGTGGCATCGGAAGTTCAGCAGCCTGCAGACAGCACTATATTCCTCTTCGCCTCCTGATTTGGTTCTCCTTATCGCTTACCTTTGTTCCGTCCATGGCTGTGGCATCGTCGTCTACTGAGAAAATTCTGAAGGTACGCCTTCACCGTGGTTTTGCATAATCCCCGACTTCAGTCTTACAGAAATCCATTGCACGTGTGGCCCACATTAGCCACTCTAGTGTCAGTGCTACTTCGCAGGACATCGAGGATTTCCTTCTTGACGCTGTCACGCATGAACGGAGCATTCTGGATGCTCGTGAACAACAGCCACAGTCTCCCAGTGTCGTCTTGGCTGCCAGCCAGTCAAGGAATGTCCTCGCAGGTATCTTATATCAGCCAGGCGAGCTCGGGACCTACCAAGCCTATACGACCCTCCCTGTAATTGCTACTCTGAACACCACAGACGAAGAAGACAAGGTGCAGTCAGTGTCCTCTGTGGGTGAAACGCCCTCATTCCATCACTTCCTGCCTGACTCACCTCTCAGCGCAACATCTGAGTCCTCCTTTACAATCACTCGCTAGCCATGATGTTGCTATGTTGTGCCCTTGCCATGAATACCTGACTGACTGATAGTACTCAAAATTTGTAGACATGCATGTGTGCGTATCAACGCATCAAATTTGTTGGGGTACAAATGACTGTTTTTGGTAGAAAAAAATTACACTCTTCTATAGTCATCAAGGGTACAATATGTCGAACTCATGGGTTCACTGATGGTTGTCCTGCGGTCCCATCTTGTCAGGTAAGTATCTTGATCGTGTTGCGATGCTGACGCGACTCTGATTGATAATGGTAAGTACTACCTAGTATATCCGTAAGTTGTATGTACCATTCCCTACAATGCATCCACGTCACGCCCAAATGTTGGCAAGTCTGTGGCAAGAGTTAAGCGACCGAATACTGAATCGTGAACGAGTGGACTCGGAAGTATATGAAGCCGTCATATTGCGAAAAATCTTGGATAACGTTCAAGTCGAGCCAATATTTGATAGGGACTGAGAACAATCAGTGACATTAACGCTAGTGAGCTGATGCTTTTGTTACCAACCGTCAGGTCAATCTCCATGTGGAGTCAAGGGCTAAAGCCATCGTCCTACGGAGAGTCTGAAACAATCTTTTGATATGAAGCATGAATGCTTGCAGGTGAAAATGTTCAATAACACGGACGCCATTACACTTATGTCCATTGCTGGCTCCGAAGGCAGCTTGTTATGACTTTTTCACGGCCTCATCTAGCGAGTCTATGTTGGTGACCATCCATGGCTGAATATGATAATCAAGTCAGATTTCTCGTGGTATGCAGTCATGTTCGGTAGGAGTAGAATTATGTAATCCTATTGCGATGGCTACAATTTCAAGGACTCGTGCATTCACTGATGGTCACGCTGAAAACACGATCTCCACCATTGCTATAGGCAAAAATCACGAAATGATGGACCGTCAGAAATTCATCGCAACAGATAAAACAGTCAGATACAGTATCGACGACTCTGGCCAGATTCTCTCGCACTCATTGATCTCAGAGTCTCCACAGTTCCACCAACCAAAGTCGTTCCTGCCCAGTCATGTGGATGTCTGGATGACTCCAGAGTACACCTCCCTTGTCAGGGGAATGTCCTCACCGAACAACCAAACTCTCCTAGTACCTGACGGTGTGGGAGATTGAGAAGTTTGAAGAAAAATTGAACATTGAGTGGCAAATATATACAAATCCTCCGCGCCAAACAAACCATAACTCCGGCCCTAAACATATTTTTCATGCCTGTTTGTGGTGTCTGGGTCGCACGGTTCTGAAGTTCCGGCTGTTTCGTCTCATTATGGGACAGCTGTAGAGTCCACTATTGGGCTGGTTCGCGTTCCTACCATTGGTGGTCGGTACAATTCACGGCAGACCTTTCCACCTGTCTCTCTGAGCGGATGTGACGTCGAGCTCGGCCGTGATTGGCTAGCGTTTGTGAGCGCGAAGTTTGATGGTTCTCGATTCCAAAGGCCTTCAGAAACGGACGTTGCTCGATTTTCTGATGGCCATAGTTAAAATTTCAGCCCGGTTGTATGTGTATTTCTTTGAATCGTTTTCATATGTCTGAATGTTTGTTTCTAGAATATTAATCCTCTCCGTCGTCTGTTATTACAGACTGTAATAAAATTTTAGCTACCCAACCAGGTACTTCTTCGTCATGTTTGTCTGTACATCAGCAAAATGAACATGCTTTGGACAATTTTTGGGTGGCTACGGAAGTTCATGGAGATCCGCTCTGAGTGAACGGCAGTTGCTCCCGGTCTTCAGGTAGCCTCTAACTCTTCCATGGAAAATTTGCGACAGGCTATACCTCAACATGTTAGGACAAGAAATTGCGGCGGCATTCATCAGTTCTATAACAAGCTCGAGTGGGTATCTACTATTCTCGTAAAACGCACACACCCTTGAAAAGTCAGATCAGGAGCACTATACGATCCGAGGATACTCACTGACTACCGCGGGACATACTTTCAGCCACGACAAAACAAGCTCAAGCAACTGAATATCTACGACACGGCAGAGAATGTGTTCAAGCTCACCCCAATGCACGAACCATATTGGAAATTGAGACCTGGAACACTCGCCTGCGACGGCCCTCCTGACTGACAGTCACTGAAATTGGGGTGTGTTATTTTGGCGGCCCTTCAGCGTTCAATTTTTTTTCTAAAGCGATTTGCCATGTCGCTTGGTTGGTGTCGATGAGCACAGATGCAGATTTCCAAACCAAGCATTCGCAACAGCTGGACTCACTGCAGATCAACTAAATGTCGGGAGTCGACCAGAGTGGACCAAATCAAGACTACTTGTAATCTTGTCGCGAGCAGGATCTGTGTCCCAGGATGGTGTTTGTATTTCATCCCATAGCAGTCACTATCATCAGTACCGGGATATCGAACATAGCTATTGCTTGTTAATAGGTATTCAAGTGAATGAACTAGGGGTTCGCTGTGCGAACTTATGACCTTGCTCCGTTTTGAATTTGATCAAGCACACCCCAATTGCAAGTTTTCTAACTACTGGTACGTAGATTATGCTCTTCTTTATGCTATTTCGTTGTGTTCTACGAAGAACGATGTCGCCTCAAAATTACGAGCTAAGTACGATATCAGAACTAAAAGTGGATGCTCAGTCTGAAATGGATTTCAAGGGAATGTGTACTGTGCCTCGTAGAGTCTCGAATTTGCCTTGATATGGCTGTGATGTTGTTGTTGTTGTTGTTGTTGTGTTGTTGTTGTTGTTGTTGTTGTTGTTGTGTTGTTGTTGTTGTTGTTGTTGAAGCAAGTGCAATTAAGCTGCGAGAGCAAGTGAAATGATCTTCGATTCTACAGCATGACTATGTATAATTAGTTGGATTGTTATGAAGTAAAAATGAGATGACCTCCTATCCAAGATCCTGATAACATTTTGCATGTCGACGATTGGCATATGATGATGTTGGTTGTGTTCCAAGAAGAGCAAAAAGTAGCAGGCACCACAGGTGATCATAGAAATATGGTGATCCGAGATGTGACTGGAGAGATGCTACATGTGACTGCCAACGTATTTGAACTAAGGGCGAGTGGAGTTTTTTTTAGTGAAGATCTCGAGTAGGTTTGATTGTAACCGTCTCGCATTCCGATTCACCTCATGGAAAGTGGTTTCCCAATGCTCCCAAATGGATAGATTTACTGAAAACTGGGTTCTTCCATGCAGTCCCTCTGCCTGTCTTCGAAGATGGCAATGCTATACTGCCTTTGGAAGCTAACTGGGCATTGGATGGAGCCTTGGTCGAAGAAACATAGTGCCAGCATGATATCAAAACATCATTTGAGTGATGTGGATGACGAGCAACCGACTCACAAGAAAAAGAGGTGGCGATAGGGAGTGCTTCGAAGTATTAATGGTTGATGCGTAGGTTTTTGGGTCACCTGTCGTTGTATTTGTGCGCGTTTTCGTCTCAAGCATCGAGCATCAATCTTTGTATTTGTATCTAGCTTGACATTTTTGGTTTGCGAGTGTCTGTTGTTGTATCTATGGTCGTCGTGCATTATCTGACGTTTTTCATCGCATCTATTGTCGTGGTCTATTATCTAACGTTGTTGATGTAATCTAGACCATTCGCGTGCACAGCTTGATGTTAATATCAGGTGACAGATTATGTCCCTCCCCGAAATGACCTTGCTCCGTAAGGTAATATATTCTAGTCTGCACACCACCCCTTGAAGTAAAGAAACCCTCAACCTCCAGATGCGAGTACTGACCATCAAACCACAAACGTCCAGGCACCGTCCAAAACTCGACTACAGGCATGTTGCAACAGCCCAAGAGCCAAATCACCCCCAAAAATCGCTGAATCTTTTTCTTCTACATACTTCTCATGGTTCTTATGTTTGAACGCGACACCTATTATCAGAAACTCGGCGCCTCATGTTACTACGTTATTGAAACCCTACATACCACCCACCTGCACCGCTACGATGTATTCACGGACGACCTACGACAGAAAGCATCACCCACTTTTGCCATATCTTAGTGGCAGCCAGGTGTGAGCAATATCTCTTTTCACAACTCACGGAAAGCGACAACGCTGTTTAATGGTCTCCCACATACTGGAAGTCCTCAGAATAGAGATGCTGTTATCCGTGGTCGTTGTTCGCGAAGAGTGAAGCAGGTGCTGACCGGTCTAAAGTCGATACTCCTGTCGTATGGCCTGCATCAGGTCATTTCAGTTCAGGAATCGTGTATTTGCCTGCGAGGTTCACTGGATATGTTTGGATCCGACCTTCCTCAGCAACACACCAATGCCTGCAGGTTTTGCAACTATTTGCTTCCATCTACAATTTGTCGCCTTGACTTTGGACTCACGTGAAGGACTCCATTGCAGTGATGTGGAAAGAAGCAACTGGGTTTAGCGGATTGACCATCCGCAATGTATGTGCTCCCCAACTTTCGTTTTGATCACCCTTTTCAGAAATTCGAGATCGCTATCCTGGTATGAGCCAGTGAGTGAATGTATAAGGCCGATGTTGAACTACCACAACTTGGCTGGTGTGATATGTAGAGCCTCAGGCCTAGAGTAACGTACGTACCATTGTGCAGTGAACTGTAATAGTTTGCCAGTGGGGTGGACGGTGCTACGGAATGCGCTGGAGCACATGTAGCACTTTGTAGCAAGTTATGCTTCCTTGACAATTCGAGAAATTAGTTTTGTGTAGACTCGAATTTCTCCCAGCCACTTAGGACCTATTTAGGACTGATAATTACCCTAAAATTTTCACACGAGGAATGTCGGCGTTGTCACAATTAGCTGTGTGGTATTGTGTGGTATTGTTTGTATCCATGAATTTGTGCTTGATGTTCAACTTAGTTCTTCCAACCTGTGTGGACTTCTAACACATCATCACGTACATCTCTCCATGTGTACACCTCCCTAGGTGTCCTCGAATCATCCGCACATATGCAGGTGTGTTGCATTGATTATTCGAGGTATCAAATGCCCTTGTGTCTGCCTGCATGTGGTACAGGGGAATATCTCACTACCTACACCCTAAAGTAAAAGGTGAAGCGATGACCAAACCCTCTATTTTCCTCCGTTTTGACACATTATTTGCAGAAGTACTAAAGAGCCCGAAGAAAGCGTCAAGTAATAAAGATACAGCTGGCCACTGCTACTCGAGTCAAGAATAATGATATAGTGGGGGTATTTTGTGCTAATCTTTCATGGTCTATAACGGACACTGCCCGGTGTCTCGCCGCCTCTCCATTCCATATTGCCCAACAGCCTGCGAAGTTTCGCAGGACGGCTACTCGATGACCTGGTTGTGTGAGCATGGTTTCTTTTCTCATTTACTTTTTGTGTATTTGTGCCCGTCACAGCGTCGCCATAATATGTGGATTCTAGGAGGTGGGGGGAAATTGTGCCAGAAGAGCAAGGGGGTGGGGGCAGGTCTGACACGGATGGCATAGTTGTTATCTTGATCAGTTGGGAGCCATGCAGATTTCCACTGACATGCCCCACATGTCATCTGAATTGTTCTCCATCTGGGACGCCGTGATGCTGTCTGTCATTAAGGAATCGCAGCCTTCATTTGGACATGCTGTGAACTTGCACCCGAATGCACGATATGTGCTATGTTTCGCCACCTCTCTACTTTCTACAGTGCGTTTCCCACCCATATAACAAGCATATACCACAATGACTGTAGTATGCTCCAGCACATCCGGATTGGCGACAAGCAAATCACAAAGGGACTTCCACACGTCTGTGCAGCCAAAACCGCAGCTCCACGAATGAATGCTAGCACTGTGGGTCCCACAAACCCAGGGAGGGTGGAGGATCCCCCAAATCCGATAACAAAGTCAAAGAGGTCCCTGAAACAGATTTCAGTGGAGTGCATTAGATGAGGAATAGATAGCCTCACGACTCCACCATTGCCAGCACTTCCTCAAACTCGGTTTTGACCTGCATTGCAGGACCATGGGTCACAAGAAAAAGTCCCCGTCGACCGCCCCTCGCCTTGGGTGTGGTGTTGTACCAGGGGGTTCCTCCATTGACGGTGGTCTCCACAGTCTCATCCTCCCTTGCAGACAACGAGGCAGCCTTCATCGCTGTCATGAGTGGGTTACCCATGTAGGTGTGTAATCTCAGAGATTGTATGTTTGTTGGGCTTTGTTGTCCCACTGGTATGTGGCAAGATACCGGTATAGTCTGAGTGGGTGTCCATGATGACAAATTGTTGCTGGGT